GGTGTCGCAGACGACTAGAAGAGCATGGGTGACGAGTAGAGACGCACGACACTAGCTGCGGATGGGTCGCTTGCTTGTGAGACGCAGCTTAGCCAGTCTATAACCATGATGACAAGACCTATGGATCCATTGTGCGACAGTTTTCGAAGTTCTAGAGCGTACAATTCTAGAACCTTATTATGAACTGATCGAGCACATTCACTGAGGTTTGATTGATTGAGCATAATCGTGAATGTTCCATGGGCGATTGAAAAGGGCTGTCAAGACAAAAAGTCGCTCCCAATGATTGCAGATCCTAAACTGGATCCAAGAATCGAGATAGTGGACGTATTCCATAAAAGGAAGGCCGTGCTCACTATCTGGTTGTCTAACATGCTATGAAGTACTCGAATCATTTCGCGATCAATGGCGGCGCACTACTGGGATAGCTAAGTATTTTGCATGAAAAACTGCAAAAACTATTGTGTTCCACTTAGAGGAACAAAATCTGTGCAGTTAATCTCGCTTCGAAAAGTGGAGCAATCGCCGATGCGAAAATCAGGATTCGTCAGCTGAGTAAAAGAAGAAAATAGACAATTAACAAACACTGCGACTTAGGTGATTCTCCTCGGAACACTTTTCTGTACTCGTTCCCAACACGGGTATCCGTCAGTTTTGATCAACTCCAGAGCTATCATGACAAAGTTTCACGCCACCGAGGATAAGTTCCGAAAAGATTTATGATAAACACAATCTCATGGACAGTCGGAAGAGAGCCTCGCCGTTGGATGCCAAAGCGAGCGGGCATCAGAAAAAACCAGTATCGCGCCGCTTTCGCACGACGCCGGCAATGAATTGATAACTTATTTAAGCGTGCGATTTTGGAGAATAGAAAAACGATCGATAGTATAGGATGTATTAGAAGTGTGAGATGTCAGTGCAATAAGGTCCAAAAAAGTTTCCAGTGACAGCACTCGTTGAACTCAGTAAAACGTTAACACCACCAGCATTACGGACATCCAGTCCGCGTGGAGTTCAAAAACACTCCTGCCGCAGGTTTATTGAATGGTTTCATATCAAATTGCAATTTTTGTTGTTTCGTTCGCTCCTCCATGACACGATGGGATCGACCGGCACATGTAATTTGATGGGTGCGATATAAGCAGCCATTTTTACGAAATTCGCCATTTCTTTGAAAAGCTCCACCCTCTCCACTTCCTGGGACGTCGAGCATGACTACGAGAGTAGAGACACAGCGACCAATGAGGGAGTTTTACGGCCGAGGAAAACTGCCAGGGAGCAGGTGCACGTGGTATTCCAGGCTTTGCAGTAAAAATGGTAAAGGGTCCAAAAGTAAGGCCCTGGTAACCCTCTCCTCGGTTTTTTTTTCGACGTGCGCGATTAGTGCAACTATTCCCTATGCTTACATTCATCCCACAATACCTGCTTCACTCAACAGAGCTGTAGCTTCAAGTGTGCTTGCTACTCACGCGGTCTCCAGTAACTTTCGGCTATGTCCAACCCGCTTGGTTCATTACCAATGCATGCAAGTCTTGACCCTGTAGAACCTTATTCACTCCTGCCAGTTTTGCTCCGCCCACTATCGCGCGCATCACACGGCAGGCTTCAGTGAAACTGAAAGACCCATGGAATATCAGCATGAGGTACTCCATTAGCCACCTCACTATTGAATGTGTTAGAGCTTCCCCAGTTTCGCTGAAGTCCATCAGAAAGAATAGGCGCGTGATAGACCGTCCTGAGCTGAACGGGGCACCACTTTATCTGCACAAACTCGTACTAATATCTGACATTTTTTGAATCCAAGATAATTTAGCGGTGAATAGGATTTTCTCGCTGTCAGTTTTAAAATGAAAATGAAATAGCGTATTGACATAAGTGAGGAGCTAATGCTTATCATTCTGTTTACATTCATCATTATTTAGAACCACGCGAAACAGAGATTAAGCCGGCAATTCAATGCAGTCCTTGAGCTGAAGGCAGTCTCGATATTTGACAATCAGCATTGAAGAACTTATCCTCTTGCCAGCAAGACTGTTCTGATTTATGCCAATCGACCGAGATAGACTGCTGTTAAGTAGGCTGGTCATACAATGATACAGTGTGCACGTACCACTACAAATACAATTTGTAAGTAGGGACGCTCTAGTGTCAACGCAAGCTGCGTAACGGAATCGACGACTTTTGCGTTCTGACGCGCCTTATCAGCCCTTATCAGTTGTAATCACTTTCCAATCACCCCAACAATGTTCCCGTCCCACCCCTTATAACCTTGTAAGTATGGTTGCTCTGATGTTAACGCGAGACAGGTAACGGAGTCGACGACTTTCGCGTTCTAACGGATCTTATCAGCCCTTATCAGTTGCTATCGCTTTCATTCATGTACCACCAATGTCCCGGGACCACCCCACATAACACTTGTAAGTATAGACGCTCTAGTACCAATATGAACGACAAAACGAAATTGGCGATGCTCGCTTTCTAGCCCCTCTTATCAGCTATTATCAGTCGTTATCAGTTCCTATCACGTACCACTTGTGTCCCCATCCCACCCCCTATAACATATGTAAAGAACCACTGCGCTGTCATTACGTTACTAACGCTCACCGTAACCTCGCAACCTATTGCAATGTGACACACACACACACCACACACACACTAGCGAATTATATATAGTAGGACAGTCCACTGAATTACTTTTCACTACACCACTTCACGGAGAACTTTACAACTATGCAAATATTGAAGTAAATGGAAAATATTGAATTTGCTATAGGTAGTATCGACGAAAAATTTGTGTTAGGACATCTTGAAAGAAACAACAATAAACTCTCAGGACAAGGAGCGGAGGAGGGGACGAGGGAACGAGGTGAACCCTCATAAATCACTTGTGCTCCTTGTCGACGACTCCTATAGCGCTGGCAGGGGTGCGGCACTTGATTTGGTCGAACACTAAACCACTCTTTGTTCATGGGTGATTCACTAGAACTGCCATTCTCCTTGTCAGTTTTATGGTGCCATTCAATGTGATTCATAAGTTTGTTCCAGAAACTTTGAACCAGAGAGACTTTCTGATTCTTTCCCGCCTAGAGAAATGATTATTCACTTGTTTGGCGAAGAAAGGAGAAAAAAGACTCTCGGATCTATCCATGCAACGACCACCTTCCACGCAAATACTGGGAAGATGGTACTGGCTTACTGGATACGGCAAGCTCGCCAAGTCGAGCGCGACATTGCGTTCGGTAGCAGTAGACCTGACTGCAGGGTGAATAACGGTCGAGGAAATCCTCGACCATGGCTCTCTACTGTGCGAGAGTAGTGTCGAGAGTGAATGTACGCGCGGAGAGCACAGACGGCTCGCGCGTGGCGAGAGTGAATGTCCGCGCGGGAGAGCGTGACTGAACAGGCAAAAATCCTCGACGAGTCGTTGACGAATCCTCGACCGATTTTCACCTGCCTGAGCGCATACAAGTAAGGAGCCATGTTGCATCTATGCAACCGTTTAAGGATAAAGGATAAAGCATTTGCCGTTGATCAATCCCTTTTTGGGATGCGGCACGCATTCTACTTCCATTTGTACATTCGTAGTGGCGTTTGAATGCGATGTGGCCTATACAATGACTTGCGGGGGCCAGCCGATGTACAAGTCAGTGTTTTTATCCTCCCAGACAAGTCTGGTACCAATTAACCGACCCCGGAGGGATGGAAGGCTTGGTTGGCCCGGGCGACTCACGACCCAGGATTTGATCCCGGACCGCTCGCGTGGTAAGCGTGCCACTTGCCACTACACCACTTCCGCCTATGCAACCGTTTCAGGAACAGAAATAAACCTCCTGGATGTGGCCAACTTCAACTCGTCGGCCTTGTATGACACTGGCAGGTCTCAAGTTGCGATTGATAGAGCGTATCGTAGGTACGTCCTACTTATTAGATTTGAGGATTCAGCAGCGTGAGCTCATTGTTTCCTTTTCAGCTATCACATCACATTTAGAAAATGATTAAAAGTGTGGAACGGTCAATTAGCAACAAAGAAGGAGAAAAAAGGAAGCGATTCGAAGCTGATTTCAAGTTTATGAACAGGGCATAACGAAGAACGGCCGATAGCCACGACAATATCATGGCGGCACAACAGGCATGGGAACTGGAAGCGTCCCGTCTAGGATATTCACGTGCGCGTATTGTGACCTATTAGACCATAAATGAGTGCTAGAAATACCGACCATGAAGGAACGCATACGGCAGACTGCTCGAAGAAGGCCGCACACTTTATCACTACCAGAACTACGAATAACGGCACAGGTTTCTGAATGGGATGGGCATAGCTTGAAAGCTGGTTGGAATATGGGTCAATAAGCCCACTAGACAAATCCGGATGGTTCAAAAACGCCTTCACTTCCCCCTTCTGAGTGTCGACCGTTTTTTGCAAGACATTGCAAGCAAAGTAAATTGCGCAACCACTTGTTTCCTTGAGAATTATGCCTGGTCTGGACGGACCGGTCAAACAGCCTGTACAGCAATTATAACTGCACACCTGGGAGAAAAAAACTTGTTTCCCAGTTCCTCATCTGAAGGAAACTAGCACTCCCTGAGAAGCGTCCTGTTGTTTTTATCATAAGTTAGTTCGGCTGGATTTGTCTACAGCGCCTAGGGGCGTTACCAACCCCCTTAGTCGGCCCTTGTCAACTTTTGAGCCAGATCTAACCGAAGGAATTCCACTAAAAAGCCAAAGTGGAGTTTTTAGAAACGTCTACTGTGTTCATCTAGTCGAGCTCGTCATCGCTACTGCCTCATCATGCCCCGAACTGGTCAGTCCTCTTCGGGGCGTGGCCCGACTGCCGCATGAGTGCTATCTATAAAAGGGAGCTGCGCTGAGGAACAGACAGTGTCGACGATGTTCGAGGAGAAGCTCATCGTTGGCGTAGCCTCAGGCCTGCTCCACACTTGCTATCGTCGCCTGTTGATCGTCGTGCCATCGCTCTACAACACCATCAACGAGGTGCACGATGAGGTGCTCGATGGTGTCTCTAGTGTTCCGTGTGGAGACTGACTCTGCCTGGACCGAAATGATGGACATCCAGCTCAGTGTTACCCCTCTGTCACAGCCTCGCTCTAATCCATTCAACTCCATCTTCCGTCAGAAACGACAAGATTTTTCCGGGCTACCGGCCTGGTGCCAGTGCGAGCCCGTCAAGCCAGTATGTCCTCCTGGACCTCCTGGACCACCTGGAGAGTCTGGAGAACCTGGTATGTGCTGTTTCCTTACTAATTTTTCTTTTTCTGTTGGATGTTCCGTTTATTTTTGCACGGCCATTAGATAAGCGAAAGCATTTTAGGGCCACCTGGACCTCCTGGACCTCCTGGTGAAGACAATACCTCCACCTACGCACCACTCACCTGTCCACCACAAGACACTTCATGCATAAAGTGCCCAGCTGGACCTGCTGGACCTCCAGGACCTGACGGACCAGCTGGAAATCCCGGATTAGATGGAAAGCCAGGAGAACCGGGACCAGCCGGGAAAGACGGACCACCAGGCCCAGCTGGTCCACCCGGAGACGCTGGAGCTCCTGGAAAACCAGGATCCGATGGAGAACCGGGTCCACCCGGAAAAGATGGCACTAAAGGAACTGGAAAACCTGGATCACCGGGGCCAAACGGACCTCCCGGAGCACCCGGAAAAGCTGGTCCCAACGGTCAGCCTGGACCAGATGGTGCTCCCGGGGCACAAGGGCCTCCTGGAGAGCCCGGATCACCCGGAAAAGCAGGAGAAGATGGAAAGCCCGGTGCGCCTGGAGGACCCGGCCTTCCAGGAAACGATGCGGCCTACTGTCCGTGCCCACCTCGCTCGGCTGTGTTCGTCTCTCGATTCACCCATTGAGAACTCGGGCTTTTCTGCCACCGTACTATTCGTGTGCGGTGAATAATGTGATTGCTGACAGCAGAATAAATATATTTCTGTCATTTATTGTTATTGCTGTAAGTACTGTAAACTTCAGTAGCTTTCTAAGTGTTTCTGCTTCCAAGCCCCACAGGAAATCCTGGGCCGGGTCAAGCGTGCGTTGAGGAATCCTCGACACGTCACAGGGGGGGGGGTCGTATTGGCCCGCTGGGGGAAGAGATCGGGCCCGATTGATACAGTAGGATCATCGTCGGAGGACAAACATCAAGGATCGAGTCGATGCCAGGCCAGAGGATTTCCAATAACAATTGATTCCGTCCCACACAAAATCTTCGTGATTTAGAGGTGTCCGCTAGCAATTCTTAGTTACTTCAGTGTTTTATCACCACACAAGTTAAAGAATCCGAAATTCGCACGTTTTCCAAGGGATATTTTATCTTTCAAGTGAGTCCTCAATCTGAAGGGATGTGAAGCACACGGCGCATCCCAGAGTGGGCCCAGTTGGTTGCGCGCGCTTCAACTACGGCTCTCTGGAGAAAGAATCTCAATTCAGGAAAAATCAAGAGGATTCTGAAAGGGTTCATGTGAATTACAGGGAGGAGTACACTATTCAACAAGAAACGCAGCCTTCAGCGTCAAATTCATGTAACCTTTAAAGTTGAGACCGCTAAACAATTTTACACTTTTTGCAGAGAGAAAAGCACGAGGATTTTGAATCTGCTCCTACTTCAGTATGTAATCGCCCCTGAAAGGAGCTATAGTCGTTGAAATAGTGCTAATGTAGCGAAAAAGTACCTTTCGGCGGTACTCGGGCAAAAATCCTCAACGTGGCCATTTTTTAATAGTGAACGTATTCAGCAGTTCGTAAGGGCTATAGAAATCTTCTAGTTTTGTATGACGTATTAACTTTTCGAATTTGACGAAAATGAAGCAAGTTATGGCTTCGGAAAGTGTAAAAACTCGTGCTCCATCGAATTTTCCTCGTTAATTGATCTAAATTTGTTATTTCTTATAATTTTTGTAATTTCAATACTGATTAGAAAGAAGCTCTTTACAAAACTCCAAATCTGCTTTCAGATTGAAAATTCGTTCATTTTGAAGAAAGTTATAATCATTTGAATATTTGTTCAAATTTCAATAGTACATAAGCTGCTCCAAGGCCAACGCAGAAGTTCAATCAACACACAGCTGGCTAGGGCGGTTACAAGGCTTCTTTCAACTGAAAGGGGGAGGTGTAAATTGAGAACATACTCTGTGTAGTACTAAAATTTGGTAAGTCTTGTGGAGGAAATAAATAAAGAAGAGATGTTGTCATAGTATGCCATTTTTAGTGACTAGTTTGTCGTTTTTGCTCCGTTTCTCGTTTGCTCGTTTGGTAGGACTCATCAATAATGATCATTCTTTGACTTTTTCACTTTTGTACTTCTTAAAGAATTTTTCTGGTAGAGGGTGGGGTAGCATGGTTTATGAAGTTTCGGGAATAATTGAACAACCTTTTCATTGCTCGGCTCGTGAAAAGTTCGCTTTATGGATTGGGGAGGGAGGGAGTCGTATTTCCAATTTTCCTCGACAGTTCGCTTGACCCTTTGAAATGAGACCCATGGGTTGAAGATAAAACGCCAACAGTGTGTTTGGGTCAAGGATAGAAATAGGTCAGTTTGCAGTAGTGAGCATGTTTGGGCATAAATATGGAACAACACCAGCATTTCTTAGGTCTCCAAACGAAGGCAATGGAACCTGTTAATTTCCCGCCGACAAGTGACTAGATCAGCAAGACAACTTCGTTTTCTCACGAATGAGCTTAGTAGGGTCCACTGGTTCTTCGGAGACCATTTCCAGCCACTTCACAGGTCCGCGACCAAAACTTAAGTGGCAGTTTGGTTTGATCAAGGTGAGGAATCGACCAGAGTGTGAGTCAAGTGTTGTCCAGACGTCCGTCTACAAGGTGTTGCCTTATTATGCGCTTGTCGCCGTAAACCGGGTCCAAAGGCTGTTATTCGGGGTGCGGCGGTCTCTAACGCGAGATGATGATGGGCTCCGAGCCTTATACCGGTTCCCGTCCGATTGGTAGGTGTCGAAATGACGCTTTTTTGACGAATTAGAAGGAAGACTTCATATGAGCGACGGGAACCCTTTGCTGGAAAGTGCCGACTGATGAATGAAGCATGCGAATTGGAAATTGCTCTGGAAGGAGGTTTTTTGAGAAGATCTTGAGAGGCTTCCCAGCCTAATGCGCCATTAAAGCCATTTAGGAAAGTGAAGTGTTCAAGGTTCTCTAGAGCTCTTCGACTTTCGCCTTCTCTTGAACAGTTTGTAATAGCAAACTGAAATTTTTATTGTAGGAGAGTTGAGATTAGATCCAATACCAGAATAGTCTCCAATAAGCTCTAGCAGAGTCTGAGGGCGAACTTTCAAAACAGTTTTCTTCTAAAACTTAAGTGCACATTATATTGGGTTGTGCCGTATTTGGTCGCCGTCTCTTTTCTCGCAGATAATGCAGCATCAGTATAAACTATAATATTTCCATTTATATTGCGTACCGGTCACACTGAGTTGCTACAAAATTCCAAAAGTGTTCTTACACTCTCAAAAATAGCGAGTTCGTCCGTTTTTAGGCGGTTTTGTGGTATTCCGATTTTTTTGAGAAAAGCAAGATTTTGAGTTTTTAACATTCGAAGGTCACAACTGTTAACATTTGAAGGTCCACGACTTTATGCACGTGTTCAAAGCTAATGAGAAACTAGAAGATTAGCGCTTCCGATTCAGTGCTGCAGTTTTTTGAATAATCACTCGTTCAAAAAATAGTCCCGTTGTTCCGTTTTTTTTCCCTAGACTTTTTTCAAGCCTTTTTTCTGAATCGCGATTTTGCAATCTTGGTCCAAACACTATTTTCTTCAAATTGGCAGACGATGAGAAGAAGCGGTAAAAGTATTGAAGTCTACATGAAGAGTGCTTTACAACGTATGCAAAATTTTCCCTGAAAAGCTTTCTTCTGCCAGAATTTCTGAGGAGGTCCCTAGAAGTCAATTAAGCAAGTTCTAACTTTCTTCCACTTAGATTTGTTCTGAAGACATCAAGATTCTTTTGAGGAAGTTTGTCTGCTTACGGCCGCTGACAGATAAAGCGTTTCGAAGTGAAAACTCCTGCTCGGGGTACGCCGTGCACCTGTCTGTGGTTAGCAGTCGCACTAGCATTTGGAAGTCCTCCACTCTCCTCGAGGCGTAATAGTAGTCACGATTGTAGTTGCGTTGCAACTGTTACATGGAATCCTATTTTCTCAATGCATTTCACCGCGGGTCTCCTGTGTATGCGACCCCTCCCCTTTCTTTCGGCCAAATACGACCCCCTCGTTGTTCTCTGCGCAACGGGCGGTTGACCCTGATTGCTAGTGTCCTCACAACTGCCGCATGCCTTAGTCCCAGAATGAATAAGGCAGGTGTTTGAAGGACCTAATAGGGATGCTTCTGAGGTGGTAGTAATTATTGATCGTCTTCTCACGAAGATGTTGCTTCTGCGAGCTAATGAGGTGATATTCCGATAAATTAATGTCAGACTATTGGACGGACAGGCTCGGCGATCCAGCTCATTTTCTCCCTAATGGCTGGAGTGTTGGCTGCATGACGTGGGTTAGGCATCAGCTGATTTAGTGACATTGTACTTTTCTCTGATAGTACTGCTGCTTACTATGAGACTATTCGGGTAGATTTCAGTATTGGTCGTTAGCTTGGAGTAGAGCGAGTTCCCGAACAAGATATCATGCCAATCTTGAAATCGAAAACATCAGCTCCTGAGCAGAAAACGTGCATCAGAGGATCGAGCAGAAGTGATATTTGTGCAGCAAATGAACAAAAAGTCAGCAGAGCTCTACATTTATTTGTCAACAGGTAACACCTAAGTGAAAGAGTATTCCACAATAGGAACGTAAGATCCAGGAAGAGGAAACCAATTAAACTTAGTGAGAAGAGAGAAGGACGAGTACCTACAAGCAGCATAACAGGATCACAAGACGAAATTCCAGAAGGAAATCTGCAAGCCCGGAGACAAATGGACATATAAGATACCTATACTCAGCCAAAAGCCCATATTGACCCGCAATGCTAACATCGAACTGGGCTATAAGGGAACAGCCTGATGGAGAGTATGCACTGAAAAAAAAACCGAAAACATAGGCAAAAATTTAGCAAGAACCGAGAACATTAGAAACAAAAACACTCGATGAATCTGGGCATGGGCAATCACATCAGAATAGACGCAGATAATAGTGTGAGACACGCCCACCGACTATCTAAAAATCACTCGCCCGCAGTGCTATGTTAGCGGCGTTGGTTTTCAGATGGCAGAGGAGTATTAGTGTTGGAGGGCACAGCGATGAAAGCTTGCACATCAAATGTCAATGAGGCTTAGGAACGGGGTCCCATTTCTCGAAGAGCCCGTTCACTTCGTTGCGTCTTCAAACCCTGCTGCACACTTGGAACACCTGTACCCTTATCTTCCGATAAGCTACCCTTTTTTATCGTAAAATCCGCCTTTAACCCTTGAGCTAGACTTTTTGGAAACCAAGATATCAAAGTGTTTAACGTCGTAGCTATCACTTCTGGCAACGACCATTCATATTCGAAAATTCGGCTGAAGTACGCAGGATTTGACCTGGGATTTGATCCGCTGACCATATGCGCGGTAGCAGCCCCTCATGTTATCACACCATTTCCTCCCGTACAGAGAATTTTTGACATTTATACTGCGCTCTAGTATCCTTTTACAAGTGCACTTTACAATTTAAAACCAAATATTTTAAGAATGTTCGAAATAACCTTCGTTGGATTACACCACGATTAGATGTTCACCTCGTGCGAGCGCTGGTTTTGGTAACTCCTCAGGCGTACTCGCACGTATGGCGATGTGTTTCTTAGAGTGATGCTTATGAAATTTGTAAATTTTCTGCACAATTCAGCCTTCAAATGGACGCTGTTGTCGCAAGAACTTGAAATTGTGGCAGTACGCTTTAGTTACGGGCAGTACACATATGCATCAACAGTAGCCATAAGGTTAACTTTTAGGGTGACTCGCCTCTACGGACGACGATTTGACGATTGGCTTTATTAGAGTAAAAACCATTAGGAGTCCCCCGTATCTATCGTTAAACACGATTCCGCCCAAGAGAGGTTCCTGTCCAATATTCGTCGTACGTGTGGTATTGCCTTTTGAACGGACGAGTGGCTACACGTGTAGTATGCTGTATCAACGCAGACAAAGTCAGGGTTCAACACGTCACGTTGGACAAATTTCAGAAATTTTGATGACCTCCCCCTCCCTTCTGAAGCGGCCTCGATACGGATCCCCAAAGAGGGGCAACCCACGTTGCACCTTTTGGAATTTCGCGGCACCCCTCACCACCCAGGGAAATCAGAGGTCCATAGGTAACGACCTCTTCGTCGGCCGGATATGACCCTCCTGGTTGAACTTCGTCCAACGGACAGTTGACCCTGGTCAACTACCCAGGATAACGTCAAGTGAATGAAGCCCACGAACGTTGCAGTGTCTCGTTCTTCCGGCATCAAAAAAAGCGCAACTAGCGCCCTGGGGCCTGCTAACTATAATTGTTTACAGCCACTTAAAAGGACGAATTCACGATTAGAATGAAGTCGAAGAGTAATTCACCTAGTTGAGGGACCCGCGGACCTCCTAAGGGTGCGGACTGAAGCGCAATTGGCACCGAAGGAGTTGACCTCGGCGACCTATTAAGGCTCAATCTTGGCGCGGTGGGCCAGTGCACGCCCACCGATCATCTGATCACTCGCCGCAGGTCTATACGTGGAGTGATTAGATAGCAGAGAGCGTAGTGTTGAAGAGGGCACAGCGATGAGAGTCGCATCAATGCTCAAATCAACGGGCAAGGAAGGGGTCCCATTTCTCGGGTTCTGGGCCGTTTCTCATGGTTCTTCCTTCTTTTCGTGTACCACTCACCATCCCTAGGTTAATTTGAAATGGGTTGCTTTTTCATCGTGAATTCGTCCTTTAAGTTTTTTCTCATCCGCTATGTATATGCTGGTGTTCGGCGCTCACCTATCTGTTGCGCTCTCTGACCGACCACGAGGTCCGGCTATTGACTCCAAGAAACTTTCTGACGTCTATTTAGCTTTTACTAAACATTCAGTAGATATGAGTTGAGCAACCTTTTGAAAATGTGGTTGGCATTCATTCAATTCTACGCCTCCATTTTTCGAACTAACTTTTGGGAGCTCATCTCTTAGGAAATACCCGGCAATGGAAACTTCTCACAGCTATCCTCCCTTTCGGAAACTGTTGGGTAGTGATGTGATGACAAACAACAGAACACATTTGCTTCATAGTGCTTTATTTTGCCAGCCACTGCCACAGTATTTGCCGTGAACGAAGAGAGCAGCAGAAATTTCAGTGATGGTATTTCCGCCTTATGTAGACCATCGATCGGGGTGGGCATGGGCAGTAGCCAGAATCTCGTCCAACAGTACCAGGTGCTCCGGGCATACCAGGCTGTCCATCGGGTCCCGGGTGTCCGGGAGCTCCAGGTTCTCCAGGAGGTCCTTGTGGTCCTGGAGAGCCACCCGGCCCAGGTTGGCCGCCAGGACCAGGACCTCCTGGACGTCCTTGAGGTCCGGGAGGTCCAGGTGGCCCAGCACCTCCTCTTCCGCGAGTGCCGTCTTTTCCAGGTTCTCCAGGGTGCCCAGGAGATCCTGGTTGCCCTGGTTGCCCAGCGTCTCCTGGTGGGCCGGCTGGACCAGGCGGTCCACCTTTGCCTGGCGATCCAGGCTGTCCAGGGTGTCCGTCGCCTCCAGGCATTCCTGCTGGTCCTGCTTCTCCAGGAGGTCCAGCAGGTCCAGGTGGACACTTGATACATGCGGTGTCAATAGGAGGGCACGTGAGCGGCGCATATGTGACGGTGTTGTCCATGCCAGGCGGACCAGGAGGACCAGGATTCCCTGAAAACGATTGTATTATCTTCTCAGGAACGGTGATTAAAGGGAAAATTAAGGAACATTATGATGAAAATACGCGTACCAGGCTGTCCAGGTGGTCCGGGAGGTCCCGGAGGGCCGGGCGGGCAAGTTGCTCTGAGGGGCTCGCAAATGCACCACGGTGGCAAACCGGTCTGTCTCTTCGGACGGAAAATCGAGTTGAAAGGATTCTCGCGAGGTTTCGATGCCGGACTAAAGGCGATTTGAATGTCCATCATCTCGGTCCAGGCGGAGTCGGTCTCAACACGGAACACGGAGACGCCATCGAGCACCTCATCGTGAATCTCGTTGATGGTGTTGTAGAGCGATGGTACGATAATTAGCCAGATGACGATCGCCAGAGTCGAGCAGGCCGAGGCTACTCCGAGTATGAGTCGTTCCTCGAACATCTCGGCACACTGGCCGCCCGGGTAGCACCGCGCCTTTTATAGTACTTGCCTGGGCCTATCCGGCCACGCCCCGTCCTGATTAGGCTGGTTTGGGGTGTGCAAAACGACGACGTCACAATGGCGATGCTCATCATTTGTGTGATGGTTTTCAAAGTGACATAGTCACACTTTGTAAGGCTGAGTTCGCTCACAGAGGAGCCATAATCGAGGAAATTTGATGACACTTGTCCCTAGAGGGACATGATTTACTCGTTTTTTGGAAGTGGAACCTATCAGGGTTTCGGACTGTGTTGCCAGACAGAAAAATGGAGCATAAAGTGCTAATGCAGCCCAACCGCGCTCAGATGCAGGAAATGGATTGACAAATTGCGCTGCGAACACACCTGGTTCGGAAGTCAAACCTGGACCACAACTCATCCAGAAAAACTACCCCATAAAGCCACAATCACACATCAAATTGGTGGTTACCATCGGCCGATAATGGTTTGTGAATGCCGAACTGATTGAAAATGAAAAAATGAACCAAGGCAAATCGCCGACGAAGCCATTGGCAAGACGAGTATTCCCTCTATTTCTCCCTAAAATGAGGAAGTGGCGGAGCCGGACGAGTTGTACGAATTTGCTTGCTGCACGGCTCCACTAACCTGAGCGTAATTGAGTCAGAGGCTACGCCGTGATCCGGCGAAGTTGCGCCCAGTAGCTCGTCCGCAGTTCCATGGCCGCATAGCTCAACTTTGAAAGGCCCCCTAAGCCCCCCCCGCGGCCTTATTTTGTCAGCACTTGCCAGGGAAGTCGCAGCAGTGGCAGATATGGATCATACTCGGCGTAGCTTCCAACCGGGGCTGACACTGTTGGCTACTCTGTTCCACCCACAGACACACCTCATTTGAGGTTGTTGCTTAGATGTTCCAGTTCTCTTTACCTGATACACTTGCAGAATCGAAACTCTACTTGTATGCGCATCCCCTGGTTTTGCAGTTCATTGTAGGATCCAGGCAGCTTGAAGGCAATCTTTTCAAAAGTTTTGAATGGGCGGATTCTTTATCAACTTCCTGTCCCTCACGTGGATCGAGTGAGAAAGACGGTCGAGCGGATTGGTGCAAAGGCGGTGGGAGGGGGGGGGGAAGGAAAGGAAACATATTGCAGACACGGCATCCTTTCCTTTTTAGTTTCAACTAATCCTGCCATTCTTCTAGACTCTAGGCTATCGCTAAAAACGGAGCAGTGTTCCCTTTCCCTTTGTAGGGACCGATAAGTTAGCAATGGTAAAGCAAAACACGGGTATTGATTAGTCAGTAGAACTATTGCGATGGCACGAAATTTCTGAAAAAGATACCGAAAGGGGAAATTTTCAAAACCTGTTATTTCTGATGAAAGAAAAGGTAGATTCAATAACAATTGTTCGATGATTTTGATGGAATTTTAATTTATGAGCAAAAATTGTCGGTGGACAATTGTGATGGTATGGCGAAAGATTACACACACAACTCTCGAAAATTGTCCTGGGTTTTTCCTTCTTTCCCTGACCACCTCTAATCTCTCGCAGCATTCATTGAGGGCGGAGCTCCGCTTTTTCTCCTCAAATTTCCTCCATATGGTGAATGCATGGCGCACTAGGATCAATAATTTGGGTCCTCGATGTTTTATCCTGAAGAGGAGCTCCAAATTTAAACGTCTGTTGATTTGAAAAACTTGGAGTTATTTTTGCGTTCATGACCTCTTTCTCTCCTTACTCGTATCGATTAGGAAATAAATAATAAGATGGTCGGAAAAAGTGAACAATTGTTCTCAAGGCTCGGATCCGGAATCCTCACCCAGGCGATATTTCATAAATCTTGGAAACCCTGGGATTGTTTCCAACGATACTAAATAATGAGCTGTAAAATGGAAGGCTTCACAGGTAGCAATTCTTGCTAATGACCAAAGCCGAGCCGAGATCTTCACCCGTCAAGAGCAGACCAAATGGCTGTAGACCACAAAACATAGAGAAGAATTTGTTGAACACCTTTCCATAACATTTATTGTTTATTCATCTGAAGGCGATCTTTACGATGAAAAGGCAGTCTACTAAAACACAAGGTAGAGTTGAGCAGCGGTGAAGGAATGGTAGGAAAAAAGGTAAAACTGAGAAACAGCCCAACGAGGAATGGTCAATTGGTCGGTCCGGCCATTTGCAATAGGGTGTAGTCCGATACACGCGTTGAAAACTCGACATTTGATGTTGAATGTACTACAATTGTTTTTGTGCTGTATGCCAAACGAATACTTGGTTTATGCGTTTGGCAGAACTCTATTACGTAAGCGGTTGATCGAGTAGCTAGCAAGTCAGGAAGCTTCAGACTATCTTCAGGACTCTAAAGAGGACGAAACGATTGAAAAGTAAAGCCAGTCAATAAATGGTTGCTAAAGCAGCTTTATATGTCCACTATTTAAAAAATGGCCACGTTGAGGATTTTTGCAAAATTAACGAGGAAAATTTGCGATGAGTGCGAGTTTTTACGCTTTCCAAGGCCATAACTACGTTCAAACCCATCCAATCTGAAAAGTAAATACGTCAGCATAAACTAGAAGAATTGCACTATTCAACGGTTACTAGGACTGCTAAAAACGTCCACAATTTAAAAAATGGCCACGTTGAGGATTTTTGCCCGAGTACCGCCGAAAGTCACTTTTTCGCTGCATTAGCACTACTCCAACGACTATAGCTCCTTTCAGGGGCAATTATACACTAAAGTAGGAGCAGATTCGAAATCCTCTTTCTTTTCTCTTTCCAAGAAGTGTAAAATTGTTTTAGCGTGTGTCTTAACTTTAACGATTACATGCTTGTGAATTTGACGCTGAAGGCTGCATTTCTTGCTCAATAGTGTACTCCTCCATGTAATCTCACACAGACCCTTTCAGGATCCTCTTGATTTTTCTCTGAATTGAGAGTTTTTCTCTCAAGAGCCGTAGTTAAAGCGCGCGCAACTAACTGGGCCCACTCTGGTATGCGCCGTGTGCTTCACATCCCTTGAGATTCGAGGACTCACCTGAAAGATAAAATATCCGTTGGAAAACGTGCGAATTTTGGATTTTTTGACTTGTTAGTGATAGTTTAAGATAAAACTCTGAGGTAGTGAAAAATCACTACGCGCACACCTCTGAATCACGAAAATTTTATGTGGTACACCATTCGCGTACGCGAAGTCCTCTGCCTCCATTGCATCGACTCACCCCTGATGTTTGTCTCGACAGCGTGGCTGCACAATCCGGTCGCCGATTCCCTCCCTACCAGCGGCCCAATAACGACCCCCACCCTATGCACGGTCGAAGATTCCTCAACGCGACACTTGACCGTGCTTACGACCCCTCCACCCTGCGGGCTAAATACGACCTCCTCGTTGATACCACCCTGTACTAACGTCCAGTTGACCCTGACTGGAAGACGTTATCAGGCTGCTTGAGCGCCCTTCGCACGCGAAGAAGTTCAGCTTCTTTGAGAGTGCAGTGTTCAACTATGTAAGCATAAGTGCACTTCTTCAGCATACAATCTATCGTCTGACCGGCTCTCACGATCAGTCACGTGTAGTGACATGATCTCATCAAGATATCAAAGAGCTAGGTGGGAAGCAGAAGGTAGAAGTTGATGATCGCTTTCATCGTCAATGGCCTAGTCCACACTCAAAATGGTGAACCATTTCGCAATCAGCTAAGCCTATGGCTCCATATGAGAACTCGGACAACTAGGTTATCAAGTGTTGTACACCATTTATTTTCTTTTGTTATATGGTGATAAAATGGGTAGAAATTTGTTTCGAAACCTTCCGACATGCATGGAAGTGTTCGCTCATCAATTACCACTTTTTCAGGTCAAGTGCACTCGTTTTCTCAAAAGGAACTGAGTCGGCTGCAACAACTGGTTACAGCGCGATGATTTCCGTTTTCCTATGTACGCATGGGTAACAATTTGTTATCAGCGCTTGTCGACTTCACCGAGGGCCAAAGAACAAATCCAAATGAGGACATGGTGTTTGTTGTTCGCTAAATAAACGGTTCCACCTTAGAATGAACAACCCGAAAAATTATTACCGGTGTAATAAACACTGAAATTGTCAAGAGTCAGGAGCCCTCGAATAATTCGTTGTCAACTGGATTTAATATTGGCGTTCAGTTATAACTAAATAGCGGACTATTGAAGATGGGGTATAATAATACCGGTGGAATACGCTACACACTCTGTTAGCATGCAGTAGGACTGTCTCTAGGATAGGTAAGTGGTATTAAATTTGTTCAGAAGAATAAAGGTACAGAGTTGGCCATCGGGCAATCCGCGCTATCGTATTGTGAGCCAAATGGCATTCAAAATGCCACTGCAACTTTGAAAGAAGTGACGATCGGTGGGTTCTTAAAAGGGATTGATCAAAGTCAAATGTTTCATCCTCTGCCCTTAAAGGAATCTTCCACGGACCATGGACCAGTGGGCGGGACCGGAAGTTTTTGTGACGAAATGCATGGTAGGTACGGATCCACGTGTCGAACGCACGAACGTGAACAGGATTCACTTCAAACCTTCCCATGAACGTGGATCCGTACCTACCATGCATTTCGTCGCAAAACCACTTCCGGTCCCGCCCACTGGTCCATGGTCCGTGGAAGATTCCTTTAATTTTCATGGTCCAAGAGTGAGATCTGAGCAATGATTCGACGAGTGGAAGAACTCCAGAAAGTACTTGGTAATAATCAAAAAGTCCAACCCAGAGCTAACACCTACCTTTACGGGAAACATTGGACTAGCAAGAGACGTATGGGGGCGCTGTAGGACAGGCTGGTAAGCGAGAGCAGGGAGCCGGTTAAATTACAAGTTCGCGCAGCAGGGAGAACCTTGGAAACTATCGCGGTTCGTCAACGTGACAAAAGTAACAATCCCTTCGCTGCACATCAATCTGAGGAGCTAGGCAAAATTCCACTCGTCGTGAATCTTTCCGTGCAAGTGACTGCCAACTGAAGTACGAGAGGAGAAG